ACAATTTTCAACAATATAACTTTCAACGATAGTTACGACCTCTCCAACGGTCTGCACGAGTAGATATGAACCTGGTTGCTGGGTCTTCCTCTCCTCCCTTTTTAAGCCGATCCTTTGTTCGTGCTTTCCCATGTTCCTGCAAGATGGTATTCGTGGATAAGGTCATCTGCTAATGCTTTTAGCTTTCAGATAATGCCTTTGTTTTGACTGTAGGCATGCATTTTAGCTGGGTATGTATCTTTTCATGCAACTAAGAGAATGTAACAAATATGTAACAAAGATGTTGCCTTTCTCACGCATTTATCTTTTGATCTGATCCTTTCATTGTATATTTTGGGAATTCGAAAAGTGCAATGTTTACAGTAGCAACAGGAATCCCAGAAGGACTATCCTTGGTGTTACTGAATGGATCTTGAAGTTTGCTAAGTAGCATCCAGATCTGCTATTTTTGTTTGTTCCGGATTCTAATGTCTCGATAAAAATGTTTGTAATCGAGCAGTTTTGCTCAGTTTCAGATGAATACTCGATTTTCTAAGTTGCATTGTGACGCTCATTTCCCATTATTGCGTTTTTGCTGGTTGATGCTGGTCATTTACAATAGGAATGTGAGAAGCATCCTGGACAAACTGATTGGATGCTCAGGTTTGGCCAGTAGCACCCAGATGTGTTACATTCTTGGATGTTTCAGATTCTACGCTTTTGCTTTTACATTCTCTTCACGCAATTTTGCTTATTTTCGTAAGAATGGCTAAAGTTATCTGACGTAGTGACGGATTACATTGCACTTGATTTCACTGCATTGTATTTGTATTGATCACTGTATACATTTTCCAAGTGGAGCCAAAATACGATAACACCGCTATTCTTGAAATGTAATTACGTCCATGGTCGTATTATATATACGTATATGTATTTATTATATTAGAAAGACGTCATCATTTCACTGTCGTCTTTTTCAATAATTTCAAATTTAGGTCGTTGAGAAGAATGGAATGGGAGAGACGGTGATATTTGATTGGAACAAATACCTTTAAAGGCAAAATGAACTAGAAGATGGAGTGTAAGAAGAAGACATCATAATGATAACAATAATGATGACAAGAAAACGAATCGATATGACGATGTAAATGATAATGTTAATTCAAAAGAAGAGGACGTGAAAGTTTAACAGTTTGAAAAAGATGAACGGATCAGCTGAATAATGTTAAGATATGATGTTGACGATCATCGAAAGCGAATGAATAAAAAAAGAATAACTGACGAATTTGAATTGAGAATGAAGGTATTTGAGAAGAGGAATTAATTCATTTGCGATATTGGGCAATGCATAGGTAGGTAACGTTCCCATCCCTATTCGTATCACTATAAAATTATTATAAATTTTCTTAAAATTGCTCAATTTATTGATAATTTTATAGGAATGTTGATAATATCAGTGCGTTGCACATGCGTATATGATATTATAATCTATGCGATTGATTATACTTCCTATGAAATCATTGAAAATTGTGAAGAGTCGTGAAATTATTGGGCAGTAATTATCAGGATGTGTCTTACAATCAGTACGATGATAATTTAAGTTATAAAGAAAAGAAGTAATGAGTATATCATGATTTAGTGATAGTGTTGTCAAGATGTATTCATTGGTCGTTAGCGCTTATCTCCTTTGGATTAATCATCTGACCAAATATAATATTCTCCATTACTCACAAGATGATTTTGGTAGTTGCGATTTGGATAATATGTAATAATAACAATGGCAATGATAACAATAACAACTGTAACTATATTCGACGGTGCTATCAATAATTTATACTAATAATCATAACTATTCTGGTTTTTGTATGATTCTGCAGTTTATTCATTGTTCTTTGTCAATCGTCATTGTTTTAAATCGCAGATTTTTGAATCCTTTTCATTTTATTGTTTATTTATTCACCCTCAGCTGCACTTGAAAGCGTAGTTATTTTCGTTACATGGTCATTACCCCATCAGCAATTCGTCATCATCGCCGTTACAGGAATCAGTCAGTCAGTCTTGTTTTATCCATCTTATTTATTGCTCGTTAAACGGGTCTATCCATTCATTCGTCGATTCATTCATTCATCGATTCACATATCTCTATCTCCCTGTTGCAGTGCATCACATTTTTATTCTTGTTGATGATATAAAACAAGTAGTTGCACTAGCTGAGTGGATGAGTGGTAATCCTTGCTGAGAATTAAGTCATTTTAGTTGAATTAATCAGTCTAGAAAAATGAATCTTTCAGTCTCGAAGGATGACAGAATGGATGGATGCACATTTCAAAACTTAATGACTGATCTGAAAATTCAGTTTTCATTTCATGCATAAGTATAACAATTGAGCACAATGTTGCTGAATTACACATTCATTCATATGCGTCTATTTCGATCAATCAAATCCTTCAACTGAGCAATTGATACTGATTGTGGGACGTATTAACACATTTTGATGTCATTATTATAATTATTCAAGGAACATTCTTCTTATACGGAATTGAGACAATTGCAATTACTGAAATCATTTGTTGGCTCCTCAAATACCTCAAATTCAACTAGTGCTCGTTCATATACTTTATTCGATTTGAGCGCTTCGAACTTAATACTGCGATATTAATATATCCGACTAAACCAATATTAAACAGGTAATATTTGATTACATTTGAAATATTATAATGCATATCGTCTGCAGGTCCATTTAGAGTGAAGCAAAATGAATGAGGTAATTTTGTTCTCGTCGTTCATCTTCTTCCATATCTCATGAAAATGTTTTTTTG